TGAACTGGAAGTATGTCAAGTTCGGGAGTATGGCCGAACTGGAAGTATGCCGAGTTCGGGAGTATGCCGAACTGGAGTAGTTCCTTGCTGAAGGGCCTCCGGAGTTGGTAGCTTGTTCCTCAATGAAGGGCTAATATGCAGCTTGATCTTCAAAGAAGGGCTTTCGGTGTTCAAGTGGCGTGTTCCTCAGCGCGGTATACACAGTACAACTGCGGGCGTGTTCCAGACGATATCCTGGCGAGACTTCGGCAGAGCTTCAGTATGCAAATTTCCAGAGCTCATTCTTTGAAAATGAAACCACTATTTATAGTGGTGAGGGTGAGAGAAAATCTCCAACCAACTCTTAATTCCTAATTTAATTTAATTATTTTAATTAAATTAAGGAACGTATCGGGACACCATTGTGTCCAGGTTCATCATTTCATTAAATTTCAAATAATATCAAATAATCCAATTTCCTCAAAATTATGTAATCCACATATAATTTTAGTGGGCCAAGACCAAGTCAAGCCCACTAATTAAGCAACCCAATTCATCCAAGCAGTCTGGTCCAACTCGATTAAATATTTCATCATCTCGGGCCGAACAATCCAACATCCAATTACATTTAATTAAGTAATTAAACTAATTAATTATTCAATGGGCCATTTAATTAACCCAATTAAATAAATATTAGTCCAATTAGCCCAATCAAAGTAATTAATTTAGTAATTAAATATCCACCACTTCCAATAATAGCATTTAAATTTTCAATGCTTACAAGCTCGATCAAGACCAACCTACCAGTAGCTCAGACACGACCCCCCCCCCCCCTCTCTTCACCGAGCATGGGATTGACGAAACATACAGAAGGTGCTTTGAGATGAAAAGACAAAAAAAGACACAAGCTCAAGCAATGACAAGAAGAGCGAAATACTTCATTCAAAATCAAATAGTGTTGGTCCCAAAAGAGGTATGGTAAAAGTCTAGAGGGGGTGTGAATAGACTTTTAAACCGTTTTCGCAAATAGAACAATTGTTGAGGCAACAGAGAAACCAAAACTCTTAACTAGATTGTTAGAGTCGTGTGCACAGCGGAATAAATAAATAAGTGTTGTGTGATTGTGTCAGGTATATCCATGTGAGGGCAAACAAGAAGCAGTAAGTAAATAAAGTAGTAGATGACACAAGGCAATTTATAGTGGTTCGAAGGTGTTGTAATCCTCCTACTCCACTTGCTCTTATCCTCCAAGAGCAATTCACTATATCCACCACTTCTTGGTTTCTAGATACAATGAATTCCGTGATCTAGTGATTTGATCACTAAGCCAACACTAATCACGCCCAGTGCCTCCGACACTGCTGCTTCGAATTTCACAACTCCGTGTTATTTTCCCCCCGTCTTCCACGCTCCGGTAGACGTATCACGTGTTCTAGTGCTTTGATCACCAAGCCCACACTAATCACGCCTAGTGCCTCCAACACTGCTGTTTCGGATTTCACAACTCCGTGCTACTTTCACAGGATTTCACAGCTCCGTGTTACTTTCCTCCCTTCTTCCAATACTTCACAGCTCCGTGTGACAATCTTCTTCCTATACTCCCGTAGGGATGTTACTTGTTTGTAGAAAAAACAAGTTTTCTCTTGCTTCCAACTTTGAGACTTCTTGATGGATCTTCAATATGCAGCAAGTCTCTCAATGATGAAGATTTTAAAACACTCTTGAATATTTTCTCTGTGAGCTTTGAATCTCTGAGTGTTTATCTCACTTGAATATTTTTCTCTGTAAGCTTTCTCTAGCAGATTGGATTCGTATGTTCTTGTTGTTGGAAGTGGAAGTGCTTTTTCTCTGCTTCAATCTTCATCTTTTTATAGATGGTTTTGATATTTTGTCCATTGGAAAAAGGCAATCTCAAATTTGAATTCTTGTAGCCTTTTTAGAGGATCTGTAGCTTTTTCAAAAGATCTTATCTCAGAAATAATGTCTTTGACATTTGAGATATTTTAGCCGTTGCTTTTAGCTCTTGGTCCAATGTGGGTAGGCTCTTAAAATAATTCTGATGTAGATCATGCTTTCCAGCTAGTAGTCCACGTGAAGAGGCTCTTAAAATAATTCTGATGTAGATCATGCCTTCTGAGACTTTTATCTTCTGAATATGTGCTCCAATCTAATCCCTTTCTATTTTGGATCTTATATATAGCCTTTGACTTGTGACCTCATCTCTAACTTCATCTTTCGAAACCTCTGCTTATACTTCATCTCATAGAAGTGATTTATGACCTTAAGGTTTATTTATCAAGCTTCTAACCATCTTGTCTGTACGGATTATTGGTCATTGTAGCATTCTCCTTGATGTACTTCTTTCTTTCCACAAATGCTTGATCTCCAAGATAACTTCATGCAATCTCGTTTGCTTCTTGTTTTTTCGTATGAGATTATCAGTATGACTTCTTCTTTGAGTTGGGGCGCGCGGGCTTGTTTAAGTATACATATCATATGCATACATCTTCTTCTTCGTATTTCTCGCTTTTTCTATGTTTGTTAATTTTCCTTTCATGGTCTATGACAAACCTAAACTTAACAAATAAAATTGGGGATTCTAAAATACAATTTGGCATATCAAAATCTATTACAATATATTCCTAACAAATAGTTCCAAGTATGTAGACAAGCTACAACTTAACTCTACTCATTGAGGTCCGGGTGGGTGGTCGTGTGATCTCGGAGGCAGCAGGAGCAGCCATGGCCTTCTCGACGAGCTCATCCATGTTCTCCAGGAAATGAAGGTGCTCCAACAAAACTCGGGAGCAAGCCAAAACCAAGATATGCCAAGACCGATCTTGGCCACACAGGGCATGGGGGACTCGAACTCGGGCCCAACGGAGTCGAGCTATGCCGAGTTCAAGCTTGACCAGTTTGAAGCGTGGGGTTGGAACTTGGTCGCGGAAAACCCGAGCCAAGGAGAGGTCCCAACTTTGAGAGGGGGTACCTTGAAAGCAAAACAATGAAGCTAAATGGAATGGAAAATTTTGAGAGACCAGGTCGGAACACGGCTTAGATCTACTCTCTCACTGACGACTTCTCGCAGCTTGGAGAGTAGGAGACTGATGATGGGTATATTGGGAATTGGACCAGAGTAATTCGACCTGGTGGAGCGGAGCAAGACGGATCGAGTTGGACCTTGGGCTCCAGGGTAGAGTCTCGTGCTCGGCCTAGGGCTTGGCCTTGCCTGGGGGCTCGGCCTCGGCCAAAGCCCTCAGCCAGGAATCTCGACTAGGGGTCTCGGTTGGCTAGCCCGGGGGCCCGATCACGAAACCTAGCACAGTCAAAGGTTGTTACAACCGTCCCCTCCTCTTTAGGGGGGCGGTTAAGGGGTTTTGGCTAATATGAAAATCCTTGCATGTCTATTAAGGACATCTTCATCTATGTCCTAAACACACAACCATTGTAATAGCATTACATCTTGCTTGTAACCAGTTTATCAACAATACATGATTATCTCTGTGATATACATCTATTTTGTTCATCACATTATCCGTTTTCCATTTATCATTTTTCTTTATTTATCGGGTTTAATAATTCAGACCACTCAAGTTAATTAATTAAATCCATCAATATGATTAAAAGGGAATTAAATGTACAAATTAAAATATAATACATCACCACACATTTTTGCCTTGATTTGTAAAAATGTTAGCAATCGCTATTTAAAAGTGTGCTCTTTATGAAGCCACCATGAGGTAAATCAAAACAACTCGATAAGGTCAATATATAATAATTCCCACATGAACTCAAACTTAAAAATTTATGATTATCAAATTAACATTCCACTAGCTCTATCATTTTTTTTTTTTTTGACAAAATTCAAGATAGCATCAATTGAGTTAATTGTTTACACTAAATTGACTCTATATATCATTTTTTTTTTTTGACAAAATTCAAGATAGTATCAATTGAGTTAATTGTTTACACTAAGTTGATGGAACGTTTGTATTCCTCGGCGTTTAAATTGAATAAATTGAATGTTCACTTCACGCGCCGCACAACATGATTACATCATAGTTGTGGACAAGGTATTGAGTTGTTGAGTGTCAATCTCCTGCCGCAGCCTACTTTTATTTATCCGGATTGGGTACAGATTAGAAAGAGAGAGAGAGAGATAGAAAATGGGAGAGAGAGAGAGAGAGGGATCGGAGATGTGGAAGAGCAGTGGCAAAGACCATGAACAGCCCACGAGCAAAAATGCGAATCCAAGAAGAAAGTGAAGCTCAAAAAAGGAGGGAGAAGCTCAAAAAGCTTCACAAAAACAAGTACTTATAGACACACCACCTCCAACCAAAATGCTTTTATTTGTCTACTATACACCACCATCCATCCCTTTTGTGTGAGAGAGAGAGAAAGAAAGAGAGGCATTGATCAGAGAGCCACCAAACTTACCACACCAAGCTAAGAATTATATATCACATTACCAACACTGCATGCCCACCATCTCTGTCAAATCCAAAGACACCTCAAAACAAATTAAAGCCAGGCAGACAAATATATATATGTACTACTCAGCCCCCACCCCCCACCCCCCACCCCCCACATAAAAGAAGTGCCCCTTTTTTGCTCTTGTTTAAGAGTTCTTCTATGTATTTTCAAATCAAACTCTCTAAATTTTATTTCCTGAGAGCACTGATAGGTTACTTTTTTTTACGTGGGTCCCAATATAAATATTTATATCAAAATTTTAAGTCTGAAAGTAGAAGTTTGGAGTAGAAAATGAAAGTATATGTAGTATTTTTCCTTGTTTAATGTTTAAACAGGTGTTTCACCAAGGTTATCCATCTAATTAATGTTAAATTAGTCTGTGATAAACATTTTCTGCCTTGGAGACTGCAAGTGCAAGCTTTGCTCGCGACTCTCGAAGCTAGCTGTGTAGTTTGTAGTCTGCAGCAAACCACACAAAAAATAAAAAATAAAAAAAAAAAATTAAGAAAAATTGTTGCTTTTTTTTCTGCATATACTCCCCCCATAAACGTAACCAAAACACATGCTCCTCCACCACTGACCACCCCCTCCTTCGTTTTGCTTCTTCAATTCTCTTCTGCATAGCTAGCTAGCTAGCTTGTTTGCTTTAATTTGGTTCCATAAATTTTCTTGATCTGGGTTCTTGAATTGAAGAAAGTAGCAAGCAAATTAATTAATTAATTAAGATCAGATGAGATGATAAGTTTAGCTGATTTGTACCATGTAATGACTGCAGTGGTTCCACTGTATGTGGCCATGATTCTAGCCTATGGGTCTGTGAAGTGGTGGAAGATCTTCTCACCAGACCAGTGTTCTGGGATCAACCGCTTTGTTGCCCTGTTTGCAGTCCCTCTCCTATCCTTTCACTTCATAGCAGGCAATGATCCATACACCATGAACTTACGGTTCATTCTAGCAGACACCCTGCAGAAGCTGATTGTTCTTGGGGTGCTAGCTGTGTGGGCTAATCTGAGCAAGAAGGGGAGTTTGGAGTGGAGTATAACCCTCTTCTCCCTATCAACTTTGCCCAACACTCTTGTGATGGGCATCCCATTGTTGAAAGGGATGTATGGGGCCTTTTCTGGGAGCTTGATGGTTCAGATAGTTGTACTCCAGTGCATCATATGGTACACCTTGATGCTGTTCTTGTTTGAGTTCAGAGGTGCAAGGATGCTCATTTCTGAGCAGTTCCCAAACACTGCTGCCTCAATTGTGTCTATCCATGTCGACTCGGATGTGATTTCACTGGACGGAAGGCAAGGTTTGGAGACGGAGGCAGAGGTTAAAGAGGACGGCAAGCTTCATATCACTGTGAGAAAATCTAATGCCTCAAGATCAGATATCTTCTCCAGAAACACCCCAAGGCCATCAAACCTCACCAATGCAGAGATTTACTCTCTGCAATCCTCAAGAAACCCCACCCCCAGAGGCTCCAGTTTCAACCACACAGACTTCTACTCAAGGAACTCAAATTTTGGTCCAACCCCAAGGCCTTCAAACTACGAAGAAGAGACGACAAGATTCCATTACCCAGCTCCTAACCCAGCCATGTTTTCGCCTTCTAAAACACTTGGAGAAGAAGGTGGCAATAATAATAACAATAAGGATCTTCACATGTTTGTTTGGAGCTCTAGTGCCTCTCCTGTTTCAGATGTCTTTGGAGACCAGCCTCCTGCACCCAAAGGTATAGTATACTCACTCTACTCAACCTAATATAAGTTATTATTTTTATTCTTGTTTAATTTGCATGCAGTTGAGGGTCACAGAAACAACAATCAAGAAAGCTACATGGAGAGTAGGGAAGAATTCATGTTTGGGAATAGAGATGTAGAAATATTGAACAACCATGAAGCAGATGATGATGATAAGAAAGTTGGAGAGAAAGCCATGCCTCCCACCAGTGTCATGACTAGGCTTATACTCATCATGGTCTGGAGAAAACTCATCAGAAACCCAAACACTTACTCCAGCTTGTTTGGCCTTACCTGGTCCCTAATCTCATTCAGGTAACCATTTTTCCACACTACATACCTCGGAGCCGTATGTCAACCTTAGCCAGCAAAAAGATCATAAGGACATAATAAACTAACTTAATTAGAGTGTTCATAGCTGACCAACTCAAATCAAGAAGATCAATAGATAGTTCATTCTGAGAGTCAAATTTGTAACTTTATTGTTACCAAGTCACCAAGTCAACAACTTGACTAACTTAGCTAAAGTTGTCCCAAAAAAATCCCTATTTTTTTTTCATACAACATCTGGCATCCCAAGACCAATCTTGGTCCGAGTCATAGTTATAATTAGTTAATAACATTAGCTGATTGTAGAAAGGTATTGGTAAATTAACGGTTAACTAATTGAAAAAGTTAGTTTGAGCAACTTTTTGAATTTTAGCATTTTGGAGTTACAAAAAGTTAATTAACCAAACACTTATGTTGAGTTTTTAACCAAGTCAAACAGGTAATAATGATAAAATAAATCAAAATTAGCCTATAGACTAACTATTTTACCAAACAGGGCCATATATAGTGTAATTCTTACGGGAAGAATCTCATTAACATGACATACACATTCAAAATTTTAGTTCATTTTGTTTTATTTAAATTTGGAGTTGAATAAACTTGTAGGTGGAATGTGAAGATGCCTGCTATAATTGCACAGTCCATATCCATTCTGTCAGATGCAGGACTTGGCATGGCGATGTTCAGTCTTGGTAAGTCTTTTTTTTTTCCTTAAAATTTTTATCTTTTCAAATTTCCAGGCATTGGGGCACAAGATCTGTCCCTCTCAACATATGATAATGATTAATCTCTTAACTTTTGGATTATAAAATTGCATACCATACAAGAAAGCATACTAAAAATAAAGAAACACCAAAAGTGTTGGGGTCATCATAACATGTCTCCCTTTATGTTCTTCTCTTTAACAATGACACATGATCTATGCAAGTAGCTTGGTGATGGTGATAATGATGGAAATTAACTAAATTGAATTGAATATGGAAGGTGACATAATCAGATTGATTATATATGAATGATAGATACATATATGCATTAATGACAGGGTTGTTCATGGCTTTGCAACCAAGAATCATAGCATGTGGGAATAGAGTAGCAGCTTTTGCCATGGCTGTGAGGTTCCTTACTGGTCCTGCTGTCATGGCTGCTGCTTCCATTGCTGTTGGCCTTCGTGGTGTCCTCTTACATGTTGCCATTGTTCAGGTCATTCTTTTTACTCTTTTCAATAAAGTCACTATTTTTCAAGATTAGAACTTTGAAAATGAAGCAAAGTAATTGTAATGTTAGCTCTGTGGCTCTCTTAAATAGGAGATCACAAGTTCAAAAATTCAATGCAACATTGTAATAGAGTTAGTAGCAATAAAAAATGGTCCAGCACGTGACTTGTAAGTTATTACATAAAAGTTTGGTTTACCAAATGTACACGTACTTTTGGACAGTGAAATAGATGATTTTTTTTAGTACTATTGACTCTTACAATGTAGTATCTGTTTATAACTACTTTCTCAACCTACTACAAAAGTAACTACTTTCTCAACCTACTACAAAAGTGTGGTTTACCAAATGTACACGTACTTTTGGACAGTGACATAGATAATTTTTTTTTAGTACTACTGACTCTGTTAAAATGTAATATCTGTTCATAACTTGATAAGAACCTAAAAAGGGTTATGGCGGTTTAATTACTAAATCTATGATTTTTTTTTTAATGCTACTGACTCTATTACATTGTAGTATATGTTCAAACATACTTTCTCAACCTAATGAAGCACAAAGTGTCAACAACGCCTCCACTGATACTCGATCTATGATTTTTAATTAATAATAAATACATTATGACAATTAAAAAGGATTATTTTTCCAATTAGATTATATTTTATAGAGAATGTTTTTATGTTGTCTAGATTTAAATTATTGTTTTTCTTATATCTTTTATACTCCATTCGTGTGCTTGGATTGCCATAATAATAAATATATAATATAAGTTTTATTTATTAAAAAAAACAGGCAGCTCTACCTCAAGGAATTGTCCCCTTTGTCTTCGCCAAGGAATACAACGTACACCCTGATATTCTTAGCACAGCGTAAGTAAATATTAAAATTTATTTATTTATTTTAATTTCTATATATAATCAAGTTGAAATGACAACTAGTAGTTTTGGTAATACCGTATGACTAATCTCATCTGTCCATCTTAGATTATCATGAGTTGAGAATTAATGAAATATAGAAAAAAAACATTGTGACACTTCTATAATTAATATTGGGCATTTGAAAACATTGGATAATAAATCAACAAATAACTAATAGTGCACAGTAACACACATGCATGTGTGCACTATTATAGATCCTGAGTGCACTGTCAGTTATTCATGAATGCACTATCTAATGTTTTCAATTGTATCATCACATCATAATTACAAAAATATCACCACTTTTTTTTGTTAACTTTCACTCCTTGATGGACATATGAGATTAGTCTACATGTTTTCATAGAGCTAATATATATATATATATATATATATATATATATATATATATATATATATATATATATATATATATATATATATATATATATATATATATATATTTATTTATTTATTTATTTATTTATTTATTTATTTATGTTCTTGGAATAATATTTATAAATTTGTTTTTTTTTTTTTTCGAAAATGTTGCAGGGTGATATTTGGAATGTTAATTGCGTTACCAATAACGCTGGTCTACTACATTTTGTTGGGAATATGATGATGAAGAGTGAATTTTTGCTTAGACTCGATTCACATAGCTGAGCATATATAAGTGAAATGAGGAAAAAATAGGGGAAATATATATGAAATGTGTGTCGCTAATGGGGTTGTATCTGGTAGTGACATTGTAAAATCAAGTTTGTAGCAAAATTAATTGATCACAAAAAAAAAAATAAATAAATAAAAAATAAAAATCCTCACGAATTAATTAATTGGTTCTAGCTTCTAAGTTCGATTCTCTATGTGAGGTGCTTATTGATTATTGATCATTTAAGTTTGAGTCCATTAGTTATGGATAACCTGTAAGATTTTCTCTAATATACCGTATACTATATAGGGAAAATTGCATCATTGGTCCCTGAGTTATACCTAAGGGGGTGTATTCAATCATGATTTTTTGTAGAGTTTTAACGACTTTTAAAATGATAGATTTTAATAAACTTTGATTGACTTTCATAGAGTCGTTCAAAACTTTTTAAAACTTTATAAAACTCTATAAAAGTCCATATAAAAAACACTTATAGACTTTTATCTAACTTTTTATTTTGAAAAGTCTACAAAAGTCATTGAAATTCTAAATTGAATACATCCTTACAAACTGTCAATGATTTTGATTCTTATCATTTACAATTTTCTTACAAAACATTTATAATATATAATAAAATTTTTCTTATTATATAGTTCTTCACCCACATCAACATTCTTAATATTATTATTTTTATCCATCGTATACTGGAA